TTTTTGACTGATTGAAATTAAAGGTATGTGGCAGTGACTTCCACAAGTTTTTTTTTTTTGGTGAGAAAAGTACAATTGTTTTGTTCGCAATATTTATTTACGGATGGTTTCAATCGCCAACGTTTACATAAGATGGTTGTATTACTGTTCCCAAGGGTTGTTGTTTTCATCAGTACGTTAACAATAGTAGTGATTCACAGTATTAGGCTTGTACTATAAATAAATATATTTAAGTTCACTCGAAAGATGAGTATAAACTGTAACAAGCTTATCGTTGATGCGCGGCCAGTACTTCAAATCTGACTGACACTCGATGCCAAAACTCAACCTCGTTGCCTGGATATGCCACTACATTACTTAACGCCAATTAAAAACTGCGCGCTATTGTGCATTTTCTTGTACAGGAAAAACCAAACAGAATTTCTGATTCTGGCCCTTAATGGTCAGAATAATAATTAGGACTTTGTCTCTGACGAAGGAACGGCAATAAGCACAATTTTAACCTACTAGCAGGTTGTTGTTTAGTCTCGTCATGAGAGATAGCGTTGCGTGACAAGTTCAAATTAGGGCTGTGGAGGGGACTGCAGGAAGCGTTGTACGAATGCAGTTTGTTTTTGCCAACAATTATTCAGACACCAGCATCAGTTATATAGTGTCCCATTTCAACCTACGTATCCAAAAAAATAACTCCTGCATGCGTAGCATGCCTATGTTTGATACATGTCGAGGGCTTCGTTAAATGGTAAACTGCTCACCTGGATTTGAGAATCCGAAACAAAGAGCAGATTCAAAGAGTCGCTGTAAGCTTGAGGTATCCGCCATGTTGCAAAACACAACCAGAAACATCCAATCTCCCCAGTAAACAAAACGATAACAAGTACAACTAAGAAAAACTTGAAAATATGAACATTGTACTTGCGCCAGCGCCTCATGCACATCTGAAGCAAATACTGCAACAAAGATACAGGAATCCATAAATATAGGTAACGTTTTGTGAATCAGTTGCTTTTCAAACCTCAAGACTCGGATATGTACTAATTAATTCTCGCCTTTGAATAGCGAGCTTTGGAGTCCAAAGCTCTCTACTTTTATCCTCTGAGCGGTCGCAACATAATAAATTTTGTTCATTTGAAGATTTTCTTGCAGATGGTGACTTGATTCTTTCGTGAGGAGACTTAGCACAAAATTGTGTCCCAATATCAAATGTCGCTCTTGCCAAGAGTGGTCCTCTTGACCTCGACACAAATCAGTGCGTTTAGAGGTGGGTACATTTCGCTGACCACCAGTCCATGGACTCCCCTCGATGGACTACCAAAATGGACTACCCATATGGACTACTCTAAATTACCTATCTTCACGCGAGCGAATCTAGCTAAAAGAGGAACTTAATTTTCTTTTGTGCCAGAGGCACTCAACCGGTGACAACCTGTTAAAAATAAACCGATCTGTCACTTGATAACCAATAACTCCAATTTGTCGCCCGCTGTATTCCCATGGCTGTTATTAAAGAGAAAAAAAAGCTTCCATCACTTACAAAGTAAACAAAGGTGATCGGAAGGCGCCTCCTCGATAATTTTCGTTAAATCAGGCCAGGAACCTCTCGCCCAGATTAGCATTCACCTGATCATTGTGAATTACGGACAGACAGCTGAGCTTACAAACAAATTAAAAAACGTCGCGGTGTTATTTCCAAATGATACGCATAAACGCTGCAATAATTCTTGCAGTTTCTCCGAGATTTAAAAAACGGAGCGAATATTTATAATCAGATAATCAAATTGACCCACAGACGAGATACGGGGAGATTTTATCTAAGGCAACGATACTCAACATAACTAGTGCAGATACTTCGAAATGGGTTTTCAATGTTCTTGGTGAGAGTTTTTCATGGCGTGATAGCGAAAATTATGGGTTACCACCGACTCTACAAGCGAGTAGCGTGGTCATTTTTTTCAAGTACGCACAAGTACATATGATCTAGAAACCCGTAAGTAGACTGAGCGAAAAATACTGCGTTCTTTATTCCTTGTTTGAAATAGTTGTGTGAATACAAGCAAAGAACAAAGCGTCTTGCCCTTATTTTGTGCAAACTTGGCGCAGACACAACACTGTTTTCAAATTTTTCTGGTCACTTCAAGTACGCACGTGCGTATATGCGTAGAGGACGCTACGCGCCTGCTCTACATCTTGAAACAAGAAGCAAATCAAATCAAAGGAACCATGGAAAGAAACAAGTTGGGACCAAACCTAATACTGGATCGCAAACCTCACGAAACAGCAAACTTCAAAACTGCGACATGTAAAGGAACTTTCTAGTCTGACTTGTGGGTAGTCAAGATGTAGAGAGGATCGAAGTTATCATTTCTCTCTTCCATAGATGAATTTAGGTACGTGA